GAGGAGGAGGAGGAGGAGGAGGATGGGACCTCCACCGGTGAGCACAGGCCAGGCGGGGGCCCTGCGGAGCTTGGGCCGGGGGCTCTCGCGAGCTCCCCGAGGTCGAAAAGGGCCCCTCCCTCCCCCCCGAGATGCTCCTGGGAAAGAGCGTCAGGGGCACCAGGAGAGAGGCCCCCCTCCAAAAACCACGGCTCTGGGGCTCTGCGACGTCGGAATCGCCCCTTCTTGGGATCTTAAATTAGTCCAGCCCAAAGGCAGGCAGGCAGGCAGGCTGGCTCTGGGAGGGACCGTTAACTTTCCCGTTAATTGCACGTGTTGCACCAGAGCACTAGAGGGTGGCATTGGGCAAGGAGAGCTCAGAGCGAGCAGCCCTGGAGAGGCTGGCGAAGCATCCACTGGGGGGCCCGAAATGACAAGCAGCCGTTTGCTGTCAGGTTGCCCTGTTGTGACAAATAGGTCTGTGTGTGTATGCATAATTTATTTTTTTGCCATGTTTGTGCAGTGTATATTAGTGCTCCCCTTTGAGAGCTATATGCAATGAAATCTCATTTTGATGTATGCTGATTAGTGTACATTTAAAGTGACAATAAAATATTCTATTCTATTCTATCCATATTCTGTTCTATCCTATTCTATCCTTTCCATATCTTATCCTTTCCATATCCTATCCTATTCCATTTTCTATTCTATTCTATTCTATCCTTTCCATATCCTATCCTTTCCATATCCTATCCTATTTCATTTTCTATTCTAGTCTATCCTATCCTATTCTATCCTTTCCATATCCTATCCTTTCCATATCCTATTTCATTTTCTATTCTATTCTATCCATATTCTATTCTATGCTATTCTATCCTTTCCATATCTTATCCTATCCTATTTCATTTTCTATTCTATTCTATCCTATTCTATCCTTTCCATATCCTATCCTATTTCATTTTCTATTCTATTCTATTCTATCCATATTCTATTCTATCCTATTCTATCCTTTCCATATCCTATCCTATCCTATCCTATTTCATTTTCTTTTCTATTCTATTCTATTCTACTCTATCCTATCCTATCCTGTTCTCAATTCCAATGACCTTTCTTGCCACAGCTGTTAAGTGAACCACTGCAGTAGTTAAGTTAGTAACACTGTTGTTGCAACCGTCCTAAATATCAATCAGCTGCCAAGCGCCTGAATTTTAATCACACGGCTATGGGGGTGCTGCGATGGTCGTGTGAAAACTGGTCATCAGTCATTTGTAACTCGGAATGGTCACTAAATGAACTGCTGTAAGTCAAGGACTGCCAGCGGTTGAAGAAAACTATCTGTGGTATTTTGCTCCCGATAGCAACTATCTCTAGGGTTATCTACATAGGATAGCCATTATTTGGGACCAGTCTGCAGCATTGAGAAACTTGTAGTATATGATATTCTTGGTCTGCCTTTGAGGCTCTGTGATCAAAAACTGCTTCTTGAGTCATTAAGTCCGGGGTCTTCAAACTTGGCCCTTTGATGACTTGTGGACTGGCTTAGGCATGTGTGCCTGGCTTAGGAATTCTGGGAGTTGAAGTCCACAAGTCATAAAAACGGCCTCGTTTGAAGACCCCTGACTTAAGCATATAAACGTTCATGATTTAAGAGTAGGGTAGAGAACGGTTAATAGCAGAACTCATGGAGGGTTTTAATTGTTCCAGGTATTTTGGCCATGCAGGAAGAGGAGGAATCAGAAGCAACCTCAGTATCTTCTGGTGACAGTAGTCCCGCAACCCCATCTGCCAATGGCTATCCAGGTATAATAGGCATATATAATAGGAATAGTCAGGACCTGTCAGATTATAGGTAGGGCAGTAGACGAGATGTTTGGGTTTGATGCTGGGCACAGGCTCAGCTATTAAAGTTATTGTGCTTGGGATGGTAATCTCTAAAAAAAGCAATCAAAGTATTACTTTAGGGCAGGGGTAGGCAACCTTGGCTCTTTTATGACTCGTGGACTTCAACTCCCAGAATTCCTGAGCCAGCACGGCTCAGCTTGGAAACCTCTCCCTTTCCCCTCAGCATAGCTGGCTCAGGAATTCTGGGAGTTGAAGTCCACGAGTCATAAAAGAGCCAGGGTTGCCTACCCCTGCCCTGTACCGTTCGAGACAAGTGGCTGTCCAATCTCTTCTTAAAAGCCTCCAGTGATGGAGCACCCACAACTTTTGGAGGCAAGTTGTCCCACTGCTTAATTGTTCTGTCAGGAAATTTCTCCTCAGTGCTAGGTTGCTTCTAGAACGAAGGAGAAATTTCCTAATGGTGAGAGCAATAGACCAATGGACTAGCTCAGGGGTAGGCAACCTTGGCTCTTTTATGACTCGTGGACTTCAATTCCCAGAATTCCTGAGCCAGCATGGCTCAGCATGGCAACCTCTCCCTTTCCCCTCAGCATGGCTGGCTCAGGAATTCTGGGAGTTGAAGTCCACCAGTCATAAAAGAGCCAAGGTTGCCTACCCCTGCTTTAGGGGATATGAAAGGTATTATTTCCAGCACCACTGAACAGCTGTAGTTCTTGCACTTTCTTAATTTAAGGTATTTTTTTCTGCAAGTTCCTTTCCTCACATTCCTTTATGATTCCACAAGATACGTAAAATTTGATTTAGCCAATTATCCATGGGGCTGGCAAAGAAGGAAAGTCTCAAAGGTGCTTTTTTCCAAAAGCAGAACAAAACTGAAGAAGCTTTTTGGATGAGAAGCGAAACGTTTTCAAGGAAGGCAAAAAAAAATCAAGAAGGTCCAGTTGTCTTTTGGAAAAGCACCTTTGGGAAAATTATGTCCTGGACGACTGAGAATCTCCATAGACCAGGGGTCCTCAACCTTGGCCACTTTAAGACTGGTGGACTTCAACTCCCAGAATTCCTCAGCCAGCAAAGCTTTGCTGGCTGAGGAATTCTGGGAGTTGAAGTCCACCAGTCTTAAAGTGGCCAAGGTTGAGGACCCCTGCCATAGACAAACGCTTGCCATGCTAAAGCTATAGAGTGGGGGACCAGCCAAGGTGCTTTATACTGCTGCATACCTCACTGTGTTTTCTCTCTCTTTGTTTTGCTAGGTCCCCAGAGCAAAGAACCCAAAAAATCAACGGCTGGGGAACAGGTGGATGATGGCGGAGAAGGAGGGCAGGACCGCCTCAGCTCCTCCCAGGCTCCTAGCCCCGAGTGGCACGAATGCCCTGAGTGCGGGCGTGGCTTTGGCACATCTCGGGCCCTGAAGGTGCACCGTAGCTACCACGTGGGGCGCAAAAGGCCACACAGTGGTTCCTCTTCAGCCAAGCCACCCCCACCCCCACTGATCTTGCCGGGGAATCCCGACAGCCAGGAAGGGCGAATGGGAATGGCCCCGACTTCCGGCCGGGGCCGAGCTTTTCACTACATCTGTGCCGAGTGTGGCGTGGGCTTTACCTCTCCTGCCACGCTGGAGGGCCATCGCTGTGAACACAGCTGGCGCAGGAGCCCTCCCGCCCCGCCTCGTAATAAGCTTGCCCCTTCTCCTGCTCCCAGAGAGGCCAATGGGGATCAGGACACTGATGGGGCTGACGGACCGTACCACTGCACCGAGTGCCCAGGCGAATTTGGCTTGGTATCCGAACTTCACGAGCACTACATGCTCCATGCTCGCGGAGAGCTGTAGGTCCGTTTTCGACCCTTTCCCCCCCCCCAGCTCACTTCCATTTTCCCCCTGTCGTGATAGGTGGCCCCTGCTAAGGGATCTATCCTGCTAGGATACGGAAAAGCAGAAACCTCCTTTACCGTCCGTTCCTTTAAAGGAAAAAAAAAGAAGACACATTTCTATATTTCTGAGATGAATTTAGCTTTGGAACGAGGAGAGACGTGAGCTTGAGAGCAATTGCTTTTGTATCCTGCCTCCCTGGCGGTGAGTGTAGTGACTTAAAAAAACAAACAAACTCAGCCCATCTGCAGGAAGTGTCCCTTTTCCCTGCCCTTCAGTGATCTGGATCTGACGGGTCCCTAAAATATTCTAACCCCCCCAAAGGAGAATCCCGTTCATGAACTTTTGTAACAGTGGCACTAGCAGAATTGTGCTCTGCGGATCCGTTTCATTAATGCAAGCAGATTTGTCTTCTGCCAGACCCATCCCAAATGGGGAGTGGGTGTGTGGGGGAAGATAGTAAGGGATGGATTGGGATCGCTTGTCCGGTGTGCAAGATCCTGCTTTCCCAGACGGTTCCTTCTCAGGCAGGGTCCCGTTTCCATTGTCGTCATGTTGGCATCTGGGTGGCCCATGCTGAACTGAAGCTGTATTCTGTTTGTGTGTGCGTGTGCGTGCGTGTGTGCGTGCGTGTTTTGGCTTTTAAGAAAACAGCTCCTGGACATGGCGCCTGATCCACCTAACTCATGAATTTCAACAATATCTCTTCGCAGTAGTTAGGAGATACGGTTTAATAAAAACGATTCTGTATGTATATGACTTTTTTTTATTGTGCCCATCTCTGTCTGCAAGTGGGAGGAAACTGAGGGGTGCTGATTTTGTGCAGTTCTTGGTCGGGGTCTCTCTTAAAAGGAAGCCAGTTCTGGTTTGAAAGGCAATGACTGTCTCTGCAAATGAAGCTGCCTGATCTTCTCTGATTTTAATGGTGCACAGTCATTCTTTACAAACCCAGGATTTCTTATATCAGTGGTGGCGAACCTATGGCACGGGTGCCAGAGGCGGCACTTGGAGCCCTCTCTGTGGGCACACATGCTCCAGCGGCACTTGGAGCCCTCTCTGTGGGCACACATGCTCTGTGGGCACACATGCTCTGTGGGCACACATGCTCCAGCCTTGCCTCCCCCCACGACCGCCTCCTTTCCAGCAGGCCCCCTGAAGGAGTTGCCCCCGAGTGTGGCCCACATGGAGCAGCGCAGCCAAGGACATGGCAGCCAGGCAGCGTAGACAAGACTCTGCCCTCACACCCCATCATACAGTTGATGCTGCACGGCACGGGCAGAGGGTGTGGCCGCCATAGCGCTGCTGGGCTGCCTGGGTGATCTGTGGCGTGCTCTGGAGTGGTGAGTGGTCCTGTGGGTAGGCGGGTGGAAGATGGGGAAGCAGAGCGGGGACAGGGCAGGGGGATGGAGTGGAGGCAGGGGCAGTTTTTGGGCACTCGGTCTCTAAAAGGTTTGCCATCACTGTCTTATATCCTTGAGATTTTAGGATAGCAACCGTTCATTCTGCCGTCACCAAAGAAGCAGACCTTACGGTTATTTGCCAGGCATATTACAGGTAGCCCTCAACTTAACAACCAGTCGCTTAGCAACCGGTGGAAGTTACAACAGACCTCCCCAGAGAGAACAATCCTGTTCCAAAGTTCTATTGACCCCCCAGGCCACATGATCATATTTCAGGCCCTCTGCAACTCGCCTGATTTTATGGCTGTTTGCAGAGTTCTGTGGTCACCTGACCACATTTTACAACGTTGCTGCTGAAAAGTGGCATTGGCCAGCCCATAGTGAACAGCTGATTTACTTTCTGGCTGCAGTGGTCATTTCTAAATCATAGCAGTGGCTTAATAAACGCCACAAAATAGGTGCTATAATGAGGTTGGTCACATGACCCACGTTATAACCATACGAGCTGCGATCGTAACGGTCAGGCTCCATTGCAGTCATAGGTGGCGAATTTAGCTGTATAGAAATTGAGGAACAACTAAAAGAGGACATCAAGTGCGTGGTTCACACATGGTTTGAGTTCAGCACAAATCACGCCACTATAGTGGTTGTGAGGAAACCATGGTTAAAAGCCTGTCAATTCAGGGACTGAATCCAGCTACTGTCCTCATTTGCTGTTCATAGTTGAAAGTGCTTATTGAGGATCTAAACCAGGGGTAGGCAACCTTGGCTCTTTTATGACTCGTGGACTTCAATCCCAGAATTTCTGAACCCAGCCAAGGTTGCTTACCCCTGATCTAAACCATGAAGTAGGATTGGCACTCGCTTTGGGCATTTATTTGCTCCTGAAATTGTGTACTTGGGTGAACATGAAAAATGCAAATCATGAGTGGACAAGAGTTTACGTTGTTTGATTTGCTGATCAGATTGCTAGTACAGTCTGTGGTACAATTGTTAGGTGAGGTTTAGGAGGCGAATTAATACCTTATCCGTGTGTGCCTATAGTAGAGGGATTTTATACCGACATTATCTAATCCTTGATGCAACTCACTGTGGCATTTCATTTTCTATTTTTTAAATACTCAAACGCTGAAAATGTTGGGAAAATGACATGGCACAATGGTTAAAATGCAGTATTGCAAGCTAACTCTGCCCACTGCCTGGAATTCGATCCTGACGGGGCTCAAGGTTGACTCAGCCTTCCACCCTTCTGAGGTCAGTAAAATGAGGATCCAGATTGGTGGGGGCAATA